AAGTAGAGATGTTACTTTCAATAAAAATGCAATGTATAAGGACAAACTTAAGACAAATATTTAAGATGAAAAGAAACCAATAGAGAAGCAAAAAGTAGTGTTAGATGACATTACACAAGACAACCTTGTAGGAAAAGGTGAGAGCTCAGGAAATAGGACAGTTGAGCAGACCACTCCAATCACTTCAATAATTGAAGTGAGGATATCTAGTAGAGTTATCAAGCTTCCTCATAGATTCTCTCCTTTAGCAAATTACTTGTTGTTGACTGATGATTGAGAACCTCTATGTTATCATGAGGCATTGCAGATGGATGATGTAGCCTAGTGTGAAATAGCTATGCAGGAGGAGATGAACTCACTTGAGATGAATAGAACTTGGTGTTTAACTGACCTACCAGCAGGAAAAAGGGCGTTGCAGAACAAGTAGGTGTTCAGGATCAAGGAAGAACATGATGGAAACAAGAGATACAAGGCAAGGTTAGTGGTAAAAGGCTTTCAATAGAAAAGAGGTATTAACTATGATGAGATTTTCTCTCCTTTAGTTAAAATGACTACCATTAGACTCGTTTTGAGCATTGTATCTGTAAAGGATCTACATCTAGAGCAGCTAGATGTAAAGATAACATTCTTACATGGTGACCTTGATGAGAACATCTACATGGTGTAACCAGAGGGTTTCCAAATAGTAGGGAAGGAGAACTTGGTTTGTAAGTTGACCAAGAGTTTGTATGGGCTGAAGTAAGCACCAAGGTAATGGTACCTGAAGTTTGAAATTTTATGAGTAGGAAATGATACAAGAAATGTGCCATGGATCAGTGCTATTATTTGAAACTTTTTGGTCCATCCTATATCATATTACTATTATATGTTGATGACATGCTAGTTGCAGGATCTAATATGGATGAAATCAATAGATTGAAGGGATAATTGTTTGAAGAGTTTGAAATGAAAGATTCGGGTGCTGCAAAGTAGATTTTGGACATGAACATTAGTAGGAACAGATATGAAGGTTCCTTAATATTATCTCAAGATAAGTATATTAGGAAGTTGTTAGAGAAATTCAGCATGCAGGATGCCAAGATCGTAACTACACCTTTAGGGGTTCACTTCAATCTCACAAAGGAGCATTCACATAAGATGGATGAAGACAAGGTAGCAATGACAAAGGTTCCTTGTGCATATGCTGTTGGTAGCTTAATGTATGCAATGGTATGCGCTAGACCAAACATTGCTCATGTAGTGGGAGATGTTAGCAGATTCATGTCTAATAGAGGAAGGAAGCATTGGGAAGCCGTCAAGTGGTTGCTACGCTACTTGAAAGGTACTTCTAAAATTGCATTATTTTTTAGTAAGAATGATGTTGTTTTGGAAGGATATTCTTATGTAGATTTGGGAGGTTGTTCAGACACAAGGAAGAGTACTACATGATTTGTTTTCACAGTAGGTGGAACATCAGTTAGTTAGATGTCTCGACTTCAAAAAAGCATTGCACTTTCAACCATAGAAGTAGAGTACATGGCTATTTTAGAAGTCGATAAGGAAATGATTTGGTTGAATAATTTTCTTGAAGAGTTAGGCAAGAAGTAGTGTGACAGTGCTCTTTATAGCGATAATCAGAGTGTCATTCATCTTGCAAAGAATCTTGTGTATGCGAAGAGAAAGCACATCTAGTTGAGATATCACTTCATTAGAGGACTAATCACTGACGGTACTTTGTTCATGAAGAAGATCCCTGGGTCAGAGAATCCTGTAGATATGTTGACCAAGGTGGTTACTACTAAGAAGTTAAAACTTTGCATAGCTTCAACTGACCTTCATGGTTAATTGTTGAGAAGACATCGCACTAGCTTGGAGGTGTTACGATTTTGAGATTTACTATTTACTTTGGAATGTAGTTGACGTGATCAGCCTCAAAGTGGGAGATTGTTGATTATGTGGAGTCTAAAGGGTTTATTGGGCTTGGCCCACTTGCTTTTTTTATTTTTTATTTTTTATAAATACTCATGTAATTATAAACCTAATTAAGAAATAGAAAAATACCATCTAATGAGACCGTGGACATAGGTTATTCTTACTAAACCACGTAAATATATGTGTCTTGTGAATTTACTTTTCTCTCTTGTAATTGCTCATGTGAGTGTGTTTGCGACCCCCTTACAACATTGTGCGTGTGAGTGGGTTTGCGATTCCCAACAAAAAATTCACAGTAAATGTGATTTATACAAATTTTTCTGTGAAATTTCATCTTCAGGTAATATTTTTGTAAATAATATATTTTTACGAATTCTAAAATTTGCAAGAAATTTTCCTGTGTTTGTAGAAAAAAAATTTATGAAAAAAATATTAAAGAAATTCTACCATAATTGTAAGTGTAAAATCACCATTAATTCTTCAATCATTATCTTTTAAACACTCATAATGAATTCATACAAAGAATTGAGCATATGTTTTCACACCTCTGACATGTGATTGATGATCTTTTAAAATTTTAGAATGTAGGTTATATTAGAATGCAGGTTATAGGTCTAACTCAACCTACAAAATTAACTAGCAAGGTGAGTATTATCTCCACTTATATACTCTTTAATTAATTTTCTCTCTAATCGATGTGGAACTTAAGATTTTCTTTAGATATTAATTAGACCATGTTCTTAGAAATAAAATTAATTCAATCATATTGAACTCTAAAATTATATTATTATAAATCATATTAACTCTTAAAATACTCAATATTCGAAGAAGAAAAAACTAGATTTTTATTAAATAATTTTATTTTAAAAATTATCATTAAACAAAACTCATTATCATTAATTTATACATTTAAATGAATTAAATTTTATGAAATATTTATAAATAATTTATTAAAATAATATTTTTTTAAGTAAATACTTTTAATTTTAAAATTTTATAAATTATCTTTCAATTAAAATTCATTATCATATATTTACAAAATTTTATATATTTAATTTAATTTAATTTAAAATTAATTATAATAATATATTTATAAATAATTTAGTAAAATAATATTTTTTCAAG